ATGATTTGTTACATTTATATATTCACTTTCATTATACTGTTTTCTCCACTGTTGGGTGTCTCCATTAATCACGGTTTTATTGTGTTTTCTAATGCAAAATTGCACTAAATGCAATGGATTTATTTTCTTTAGGTAAATAACTGAAAGTACTATTCTAGATTTAAAACCATGACTTTCCATAACACACTGCTGTGAGGCATTTTAGGATAGTTGGACAAATGTTTATTTCTATGAACATAGTACCTATCAGTTTCATAACTTCGTCTGCATTTACTATTTATATCTTATCAAGCTCCACATTCAACAGAAATGGATAAATCAAAGATTATTTTATTAGAAATTTATTTTATAGGTATACATGAGGAAAGAATCCTCACACCTTTATTTACTATTTATATGACCATCTCTTTAAGTGTTATTGAAAGCCTTATTTAAAATGTAGCTTTTTTTAAAACTGTAGTATAGTTTGAAAAGTCCCCAATTTATTATTATTTACCTATTCACTTTTCAATATCAAATATGCTAGTGTGTGGCAGGTAGAAAATCAATTCTATGAAATAATTAACTGCTCAATGTATTAAACAAACAAATGTTGAGCACTTACTAAGTGTTAATCACTTTCCCAGTAACCTTGGGACCATGGTTGAATAAGATAGATACAGTCGCTTTCTTACAGAAACAAAGGGATTGAAAGAGAGGTTAAAAGTGAAAACAAAAGATTCCGATCTATTTTTGCAATACAATGTGTAATGATAAAAGAATGAATGAAGGAGCTCAATTTTCTCAAAGACATTATTATGAAAATCTTTTGAGAGGTAAAATTCTTCTGAATTTGAGAATAATTACTATATTGTATGGCAAACACTCTAAACAAAATGACAGACGTATAGAAGAGCACAGAGAGAAGAATTTACACCATGGTGAATTGAGGAAAGCAAGTTGTTTACTACAAAGGGAATCTTTAGTATGGGGTTGGAAAATGGAGAGGCAATAAGAGAGGCTATAAAATCTAAAGAGACATGTAAGCAGTCCAACGAATTCCTTTTATTAAAAACACAAGGTGTAGAATTACAGAAAGTATGATGACTGGAAACTTTGCTCAGAGGTAAAACTGAAGGTACACTGAAGGAGAACTAGGCAGGCTGCAGTGGTAGACATTAGGAGGCTCTCAACAGTTAAGACTAGAGAACATTAGAGCCTGAACTGAATGGAAATGGCAGCAATGATAGTTAACATTGAAGAATCAACTTATCTGGAGGGTTCTGGGATACAGAACTAACAAGACCTAATCAACTAAGTATTTGAAGAAAATAAGAGATGAATCCATGCTTCCTTGCCAGATATTTGGCTTTTGTAACTGAGTGAATGGAAACATTTTTTCCAAGCAAAATAATATAAAAATAGAAAATAGCTTCACAAAATATGGTGATATTAGTTGTAGAACATTGGGTCTGAGAAAGACGAAAGACATTCAGAAAAATAACTATTTATCTTGGGTGAGATGTAAAATACTCGGATGTCCAATAAAATGTGAATATCTCTACTCAGATGTTTTTAATTATGTTTGTTAGTTGTGGAACTAATTGGTATTTCCTGGTATGTACAGCAACATGCGAACTGGACTGAAGTTCAGAATGCTTCGTATGTAATGAGATCTAACGAAAAAATATTTATTCTGTCCAGTACTTGGTTTTGCCATCAGAGGAAGAGATTAGAAGATTCCCTTTAATTCTTAATTTTTCTGATTAAAAAAAAAAACACATGAAACCAGTAAAAAAGGCTGCTTTTAGTTTTTTCACATTCTTAAGTTAGAGTGCATTTGCTAGCCACCAGTAAAATGCTTCATTCTTGGAATGGCCTTCAGAAACCAAAGCACATAACCATCCATTTGATATTCAAACCTCTCCCTACAAAGTCTCACCAATTGTTCACTTAAGCTTAAATCTTCCGAGTGATGTTTATTACTGGATCTTAGAGTAGTCTCTATCATAAAACAGTGTTATATTTACTTAGAATATGTTTTCACATAGCATCTTAGTTAATTTATTGTTAAATATACATTCAATTGACTTTGAACTGAATTTGTTCAAATATTTTTGAATTTTAATAATTGAATTCCTGTGAACCCTTTTAAACAAATTTAATCCCCTTCTCTTCATGGTCTGTTTTCAATAAGGGAAAATTATAATTTATTCCCTAACCCTTTCAATTCAGTATTCTCCACATGATGTGTTTTTATTACCCTTGATACTTTCCCCTGCAAAGAATTTAAACAATTTGGAATATTTTAAATGTACAATATGCACAGCTACACATATTAATTCAAGATTGACTACAAAGGATTAAAGTAGATCATAAACACGTTAATCGTAGCATAGAAACACTCCTTTTCATTTACATATACATATATTCTTATATCTATATAAAATATAGACATATAGATATACAAAATCAGCATTGCACTGCTAACAGAGGCATTTATTAGAAACAAAAATCAACACAAAGTTTTAGATTGACTATGGATTTAAAGAAAGAAACCACATTCACTCACATACTGTAAAGTTAAATTGTTTTAAGCTGTTTTAGTGCATAAAATTTATGTCAGAAACATGGTCCTCACAAAATACAGAAGCAGATAATCTACAGAGAAATATTTGCTTGACTAGGGTTATTTACTGATTGATGGAGAAGCCATCCATAATCTAAGGTCTTGCTAGACCTGATCAATTCATTCTCGTTGGCTTTTTATATTACAAGCTAAAACTATTGGTAAATTTTTTCTAACGATTGACAGTTTGAGTAACAAATATTTAAGGACTTCTAGATTTCTTATAGTTTAATGGTGTTCCTAAATAATACCCTTCTGTGTAAGTTTATAGTATTTCAGAAAGTCTGCGCCCTTGATTTTCATCTCCTATTATTTAATTTAAAAGGCTTCTCTTTTCATAATTGTGGGCCAATGAGCATAATCTCAAATTCATCACTGAGTGAAAAGACAGAGAAACCTTACTTTTTCAAATTGTTTCTCATGAAGTTAGTAAATAGTTGTTGAAAAAAGATCATGATCAATCATTGTATTTTTGCTAATTTTCACATTGTAGGTGTTATCTTTTTTTCTATTTTGAAGATTTTATTTTAAGGCATATTCATTATTTCTATCTATTTAGTTAAAATGGCTTTTAAATAAATACAATAATTGCATTGCTGAAGTAATTAGATTCTATACAAATTTTTGGAAAATATTTAGGCAAAATATCAAAGCAAAAATGTTTATATATGTTTTACCAAAAAAAGCCATTATTTGGAATCTATGGATATGAAAATAATTTTTAAAATGGAGAAACTTATCATTATGTTATAAATTACGTTGTTAAATATAAAAGCCTAAACTATATAAGACCGAGAGAGAGATACTTTGGTAGACTTAATGTTGATCTACAGTTTGATGTATGATCATGACATGTCATTCAGAAAGCTGCCTTTTTTATGTCCTAGGGACTCCCTTATTAGGCAATATTTGCTTTGAAAACTTGGTTATAATAATAAAAGTAATAATTTTTTGTAAATGCATATGCTGTTATTAAATTATTTGATAATGAGGTTCTTCTGAAAGAAATGATGAGCTATATAGAAACAGTGAAGTAGGCCGGGCGCGGTGGCTCAAGCCTGTAATCCCAGCACTTTGGGAGGCCGAGGCTGGGGGATCACGTGGTCAAGAGATGAGACCATCCTGGTCAACATGGTGAAACCCGTCTCTACTAAAAATACAAAAAATCAGCTGGGCATGGTGGCATGTGCCTGTAATCCCAGTTACTCAGGAGGCTGAGGTAGGAGAATTGCCTGAACCCAGGAGGCGGAGGTTGCGGTGAGCCGAGATCGCGCCATTGCACTCCAGCCTGGGTAACAAGAGCAAAACTCCGTCTCAAAAAAAGAAAAAAAGAAAGAAACAATAAAGTAAAATGTGCTTTAACACATTTAATTATGAATTTGCATAACTTTCACTGTCAAGAATTAATAAAACAATTTCATGTTGACCAGGATGGTCTCGATCTCTTGACCTCGTTATCCACCCACCTCGGCCTCCCAAAGTGCTGGGATTACATGCATGAGCCACCAAGCCTGGCCCAACAAATTCATAGACTTTTATAGATGTTAACAGTTAAGATTTACTGCTATGAGCTCTGTTTGATAAATATAAACACGTTTTTCAAACCCAAAACCATTCTTTAGTACATATTGCAATAATATCATTTAACAAGGAGCATGCTTACATTCTTAACAATTATGAAGATAGCAATGCTTCTGGACTGAGATTTGATGGATGGCCAAGTAATCAGAACCATAGACACCATCTGAAATGGTAGATGAACATATGGGCTTCCAAGAGCCATTTTGTTAAACGTATAACATTTAGTACTTTTAAATGATTGGACTCTTTAATGGAAGTTTCCTGAAGGCTGATTTTGGTGAATTATGATACTCTCTAATGTAACAGAATACCTTCACATTGTTGTTTTGGTATTTCTGTTAACTGGCAGAATTGGAGTCACCCTAAAGGGAAACCATCTGAGACCGAGAATTACTTTTTCAAATAAAATATTCAAATGATTACAATTCTAGAAAAAGATGACACACCAAATACATACAGATAATTTAAAGACTATTTTCAAATGTAAATGAGGAAGAGATCTGTGTATAAGTATACAAGTATAGGTATATTTGAATTCTAGCTCTCAAATACTGATGTTGTCTTTTCTTGGTTGAGTTTTTACTCCTCTGATGCTTGATTTCATCATCTGCAAAATGGCTCAGCCTTTGGGCATTGCTAAGAAGAAGTCAGTAAGTTCTTAACTTCCTTTAACGAATTCTCCTTGAGAGATGCAAATGTTTGTGTGTGTGTGTGTGCATGTGTGTGTACATGCGTGCACGTGCGTGTATGTCTGCTACATGTTTGTGTGATTGTGCACCTACTGGTTCTTACATATTTTTCACAAAACTGATGATTGTATTATATAATTAACCAATCCACAGAATATGGGTGACAGTTTATTACACAAGAAGTTAGATTTTCAAAATCACAATTTGAGATCGAAAAAGATTCAAATTATACCAAAGTGGCATAAAAATATTTTTATCTAAAGACATTTGAGATTCAACAAATGCAGAAAGAAGCTTTATCAGAGCTATTCTTATCAGGATAAAGACAGAAACTTCTGAGAATGAAACACCAATAAATCGCCTCTAGCAGGAGGATTTTCTGCCTGGAAGAAGAAAGGGAACACAGGAATCTGTATGAAACATACAATACCATAAACTTTATCTCCTATTTGTTCTGTTAGTTCATATGTTCTTCCCATGGAGGCCTTTCTCGTCCTTTGCTTTCATGTGGCAAATTAGGTACATAAACCCTGGTCTCGAATTATTGAGCGAGCGAGTTCTTTTGTATGCCCCCATATGTGTATGAATAAACTTTGCCTCTTTTCCTGTTAATCATTTCTTTGTCAGTTTAACTAATGGGCCTTCCAACTAATAAACCTAAAAGTGTAAAAGAAAAGTTTCCCATATATGTGTGTGTTATGTGTGTGTGCTTACATGTGCGCATGTATGTTTCTAAAGGCCAATAATGAATGCATTTTTCACATATGCTGCTTTGCAAATACCTTTCTGCCTTCACCCCAAAAGTCCCACATGTATTTGACAATGTACTTACTGCAGCATCGATAAATACTCTTAAATGTTTCTGGCTAAAATTTCATGTTCATTGAGGAAATATTTTTCCCTTAATGATTATTTTCATGGCTTCTTTGACTTCCCTGTTTCTCACGCTATATATTAGAAGATTTAGTATTGGCAGCAAAAGTGTGTACAACACCGACAGAATTTTGGCTTTATCCTGTGAGTAGCTAGAGCTGGTTCCCAGGTAAGTAAATATCACTGTTCCATAGAAGAGAGTCACTACCGTTAAGTGGGAGGCACATGTGGATATGGCTTTATTTCTGCCCCTGGTGGAATGTATCTTGAGGACAGTGAGCAGGATTTCCAGGTAGGAACTAACCACTATCAAAAAGGTAGACACTGATGCTGCTCCAGAAAGGACAGTAAATAAAACCTTACTGCGTTGGGTGTTGGAACAGGAGAGTTGGAAGAGCAATGGAATGTCACAGAAATAATGGTTGATAACATTGGGCCCACAGAAAGACAAACTCAGCAAGCTACTCAGATGGGTGAGGGAATTTGCAGAGCCCAGCAGGTAGGAAACAGTCACCAGGTAGATGCAGAACGTGGGAGTCATTAGACCTTTGTAGTGAAGTGGGCGGCAAACTGCAAGATACCGATCGCATGCCATGACAGCCAACAGGAAACATTCAGTAGTCAGGAACAAGCTGACAAACGAATACTGTAGGAGGCAACCATGATAAGAGATGACTTTCTGTCCTGTTATGTAATTCACCAACATTTTAGGAATCAAGACTGAAGAATAGCAGAAATCCAAGAAAGCCAGCTGGCTAAGGAAAAAGTACATGGGTGAATGGAGCTGGGCACTAGTCAGAATTGTTATGGTAATCCAAATATTGCCCAACACAGTAATGAGATAGATTAATACAAAGAGCACGGAAAGGACAACATTCATTTCAGGGTTATCAGTCAACCCCAGGAGGATGAATTCAGTTATCACACTGACATTTCTGTCGGCCATTTATATGGCTGCCCTATGGGGGATCTGCAGGGAACAATAGGAAAAATAAAATGACCAAAGAGAACAGTTTGAATAGATAAATTGCCACTATTAACTTCTTTAGAAAATATATAATTTTAATTAGGCATTATAATTATCCATGGTAAACTCAAATTTTGCACGCAAAAGTTAGCCTGATCAGACCTTTGTTGGATCTAACTAAGGAATATTATGCACCACATAATAACCTGTGGAGAAATTAGTGTTTCTCTGCACAGCTCTAATAGGAACACTTGTTTAACAGAGAGTTTAGGAGACGGATTTCGGGTAACAATACATTCCAGATTCCATATTACAAGGCAAGGACCTCATCCGTTAAGGAAGAAAATTATTTAGCAAAGAACAACAACAAAACCCCAAACATTCTCAATATTTAACAGGTGGATTTTTTTATATATCTGGCAAAATTACTTTCCATGATATTTAGACAGCTAGTGTCCATGACACATACCTTAAACAATAACACAAAAGAATGTATATATGTGTATGTTTTTATGTATGTGGATATGTGAATACATACACATATGTATAATCTCATCTAATAAAACATGTGGGCTATCTTTGAAAAAGGTGAGAATCGGGGTGCTGGAATACAGATTTTTTTTAAAAAAAATCAAACATTTTCTATAGTAATAAAATTGTTTATTTTAAAAAACACATTTATACCAGGAAGTCATCTTCTGCAACTCCAAATGATACTCATCATTTCACCCTCTGATTTCTTATAGCACTTATTACCCAACAGCTTGGATTATCTATACCTGACATTTTAATAATGTTTTAATTTTCATTATTTATTGAGTCATTTTTTCAATATGTTTTAATCTCCACAGTCAAAGTCTCACATTGTATCTCAGGGACAGAGAATGTATATCTGTACATTAAATCATATATGGATATTCTTATTTAGAAAAAGTTTATTAAATGTATTTTATGTTTTATCATTTAACCCAAATACATAAAAAGTAAGTTTCCAGTATCTAATATATTTGGGAAACACTGGGTTACATATGTTTAAGAAAAATTATCTTAACTGTACAAGTTTTAGGAGTACTTAATATGCTACCGTGGTTGAGAGTTCAAAAGCAAACAAAAATATTTTTATATTAATTTGACAACTGAATCTATTTTCATATAATTCTGTGAGTAGGATAATTCACAATCCACAATCCAAAATTGTTTGGGAATAATATTTCCCTAATATTGAATAAAGAGTGATTAAGACGTGGGCTTCTATTTCTACCTCATACTACCAGTATGATGTAAAGTATGCTATTTAATAACAATTCCAATACTGCAAACAGACTCCAAGATAGCTTTGATTGTCCGTTTTACTGAAATTGCAAAAAGTTGAAAAGAATAGCTGGTCACTTTTTACCAGAGAAACTTGTCATTTCCATGCAAAATTATTAGATTTATTTATAAAACTTCCTCTAGATATACTTGTGAGAATTAAATAAAAACAATAAGTGAAAACTGGTAGATGTGGAATAACAGACATTGGAGACTCAGAAAAGTGGGAGGAGAGAGGGAAATGATGGATGAGAAATCACTTAATGGGCAAAATATACATTATTTGGGTAATGGTTACAATAAAAGCCCAGACTTCACCAAGACACAGTGTGTCCATGTAACAAAACTGCACTTGAACTCCTTAAATTTATACAAACAAAAGAAAGAAAATATGTAAAAACTGTCTGGCAATGTCATAGGAACTCTCTAAATATCTGTTGCCTATTCAAGTAAAATTTAAAAAAATAGACTGAGAAAATAGGGGTGTCTGTCCACATACTTGACAAATTACTTTTCGACTAAATTAACATTTTAGTTCTTTGCCTCCTTTGGTTTAATATTGTTTAGCCAGCTTTGCCCTGATTGACTTTCTTTTTAAACAAACCAAATCTGCTACTTTGACTATGAGTTTCTTCTTATTTCACTAATTTTATATTTGTTTATTTAATTTTTATTTAAATGATCATTTTGACCTGGACTATTTTTTACACTGTAGTTTTCTTTTGCTATAAAATCAGTTACAATAAAATAAATGAATGTTTGATTCTTAAAATTATTGCTTGCAATAAGGCCAAAGAAATTGCTTTTCCTTTTCTCAGACTTAACAAAATTCAATACTTTATAACAACTAGCCTTATTTTTCAAATAATTTCTTCAAAGAAATTCTTTTCTGCAACTTATATTGATCAAATATATGAAGCTTTAAATATAACTACTTGAGGAAAATATAAAATAAACCCACAAATTATTTTAAGAAAGCCAGCTGATGTTGGTAATATTGTAATTCGATTTCACTTATCTCAATGATTAAAATGGATTTGAGGCAAATGTTTCTTTCTCATATTATTCTCACACTAGGTACTGAGAGTTGCTCTTTTTTGAAAACAGGAGAAAGTATGTATAAAGCCTTTGTTAGAAGACATAAACAAGAGACCTACCTGGTGTTTAGAAGAAGCCCTTGCTGTTTTCTCTTAATTTCCAGATGGTTGTGTTTATATTTGGCTTAGAGCCTTTGGAGTATAGAATCCCCAGTGATTTATTAAAAACTAGGTTTCATTAAAACAGCTAAAAATAGACCTAGAGAAAGTAAGGCTCAGCGCCCTTTCCAAAGTGTAACAATTCATATATTTGGCCTTTTATTACTTTCAGAGGAAGATTGTCATAGATGTTCTTGTCTCACCTATGTGAGGCTCTACAAGGAAGAACTGAACTGTTAAAAATTAACTCCACTGGTGTTAATAATTAAAGTTTACATAAATTATATGTACATATTGCAGGTGATATAGTATGTATATTATTTGTAAAGAGCTCTAAATTCCATTTTGTTATGGTCATGGGCTTCTACTAATATGTTATTATAATTTGTAGTAACTATGAAAAATATATACATGTTTCAATGTGAGAGAACCCAAAAATGTTGAAACGATTACTGAATAGAATTTGTGTGTGTGTGTATTATGCATATGCACACACATGTATATATGTGAACTTTCATAGAGAAGATTGCTTTTTAATATTAGGGATAACTTACCCAATTAGGAAAGTAGGATAATTATCAGGTTTAACATTTTTGTCACTTTACTGGCTGAACATAAAAACAATTTTTTTAAAATATTGAGTAGGTGGGGAGGGGCCAAGGTGGAAAACATACTTTAGGATATCATCCAGGAGAACTTCCCCAACCTAGCAAGACTGGCCAGTAATCAAATCCAAGAAATCCAGAGAATTCCAGTAAGATACTTCATGAAAAGGTCTATCCCGACACATAATCATCAGATTCTTCAAGGTTAAAATGAAGGAAAAAATTTTAAAGGCAGTCTGAGAGAAAGACCAGGTAACCTATGATGGGAAACCTACCAAACTAAAAGCAAACTTCTTAGAGGAAGTCGTACAAGCCAGAAGAGATGGGAGGCCAATATTCAACATTCTTAAAGAAAATAATTTTCAACCCAGAATGTTATAACTGGCCAAACTAAGTTTTATAAATAAAGGAGAAATACAATCCTTTTCAGACAAGCAAATGCTGAGGGATTTTGTCAACACCCACCTTACCTTGCAAGAACTCCTGAAGGAAGCACTAAACATGGAAAGGAAAAATTATTACTAGTCACTACAAAACACACTGAAGTACACAGACCAACAACACTATGAAGCAACTACATTAACAAGTCTGCAGAATTAACCAGCCAGCATCATGATGACAAGATCAAATTCACACATAATAATATTAACCTTAAATATAAATGGGCTAAATGCCCCAATTAAAAGACACAAAATTGCAATCTGGACACAAAGACAAGACCCATTAGTTTGCTGTTTTCAAGACATGCAGCTCATGTACATAGACACACATAGGCTCAAAACAAAGAGTGGGAGGAAAATTTACCAAGCGAATGGAAAGCAAAAAATGGAGGGGTTGCAATCCTAGTTTCTGACAAAATAATTTAAACCAACAAAGGTCAAAAAAGAGAAAGAAGGGCATTACAATGGGAATGGATTTAATTCGATAAGAAGGGCTAACTATCCTAAATACATATGCACTCAATACAAAACATCCAACTTCATAAAACAAGTTCTTAAAGACCTACAAAGAGACTTAGACCCCCACAAAATAAGTATAGGAGACTTTAATGCCCCACTGTCAATATTAGACAGATCATTGAGAGAGGAAATTAACAGATGCACAGCTAGTTGAACATACACAAATCAATAAATATAATTCCTCACAGAAACAAAACTGAAGACAAAATCATGTGATTATCTCAACAGATGCAGAAAAGGCCTTCTTTCAACATCCCTTTATATTAAAAACTCTCAATAAACTAGGTATATTAGGAGCATACCTCAAAATAAGAGCCATTTATGACAAATCTACAACCAATATCACACCAAATGGGCAAAAGCTGGAAGCATTCCCCTTGAAAACCAGCACAAGACAATGATGTCCTCTCTCACCACTCTCATTCAACATAGTATTGGACGTTCTGGCCAGGGCAATCAGGCAAAAGAAAGAAAGAAAACGTATTCAGGTAGAAAGAGAGGAAGTTAAATTGCCCTTGTTTGCAGATGACATGATCCTATATCTAGAAAAGCCCATTGACTCAGCCTAAAAGCTTTTTAAGTTGATAAGCAACTTTAGCAAAGTCTCTGGATACAAAATCAATGTGCAGAAATAACAAGGATTCCTGCACACCACAACTGATAAGCATGAACCAAATCATGAATTAACTCCCATTCACAATTGCCCCAAAGATAATAAAACACCTAGCAATACAGTTAAGAAGGAAAGTGGAGGATCTCTTCAAGGAGAACTACAAACCACCACTCAAGGAAATCAGAGCCGGTGCAAACAGATAGAAAAACATTCCAATTCCATGCTCATAGAAAGAAAGAGTCAATATCCTGAAATGACCATACTGCTTAAAGCAATGTATAGATCCAATGGTATTTCCAT